AGAGAATTTAACTTACACTGAGACAAGCTTTCTTTGCACCAAAGCTCAGGACACATCTATGAATTACATCCCTCAAAATTCTTTGGCTTGACTGAAAAATTCACACTTACATTTGGGTATTTTTTTTTTTTTAATGTCTGTTTTAGTGGTACTTTGTTTTTTAGGACAGAAGATCACTCACGCTGTGGAGTAAGTCATATCATGCAGATCTGTGGATAAAAGTCTCAAATTTTCAAAACAATACTTGATATATTTTTGTGACATGGATCATGGTAAAGTTTTTTTGAAACCACTGGCTCCTAGCTCTTGTATGGGAACACAAATTAGACTGTAACACAGGCCTTAGGGCACAGATTTTCAGAGCTGCTTTGTCCCTGAAATACACACAGCCATTAGCTTCTTAATTACAAGGTAAAAATACATACTAATGGGAGTTAAGGCTGTGGAAACTGCTTTTTTTTCCCTACTTTTTCAATTATTTAGTTGGGCAAATTAGCTGATCTGTATGAGTGGCCAGTCACAGTGCAGATCTATGCTTGTTAGATCTATTGCTATCAAGAAGACCAAAGCCTATAATTACAGCATGTTCTCTGTAATGAAGGTCATGTTCTAGATCCCATTCCATTTTCCATATTCAAATATACACATCTTTCTGAAACAAAACCTTCCAATTTGAAATCAGCATCCTTCATTTCAGTTGCAACACAAGCTTCTTTGTCAAAAAGTTTGTGTAAAATTGTTCTATCTCTTTAGAAATTCAAAGAATAAAAAAGAGGCACAGGCTTCACATCAGTGTACTGATCTCAAGTTCTTGGAAACTTCAATTTCTGCAGTCAGAATCAAAATGCAAATCTATTCTGGCACCAATGGAATATAGAACACCTTTCAAGGCACAGTCATATGTTCATTTTCATTTTTTGGGGGGCTTTGATTTGATTTGGATCAAATTTTGAGTGAAAATATGTCAGCCTAAGAAGTTATCTTTCCCTGCACTTTCTGTTTCTATGTCTTCTGGAACAATCCTGCAGCTAGCCATACTTTAATAAAACCTCCCAATTTCCTACACACTTCCAATAGTGGGGTTTTAAAGTGAAGCAAGACTTTGCAATTACTGTTACCGCTAGTGATCAAGATTGAGAGTACAATTAGTTTTTTTTGTCATGCATTTGCAACATATGAATCTTCAATTAGGCTTCGATCACACTAGTGGGGAAGAGCTGCTATTGGTCTTCTTGCACAGGTGAAACTCCTTGGAAGTATGTGAGCAGTTCTGCTTCAGAAGCCAGTTCAGATGCTCTTCTCCATGTTAATTCTTTCAGGTAAGTGGGAGTAAGAAACAGTGAAATTGTAGTCATATGCCAGCAGACAAGATTGAATGCATAGCAAGTGCAGACATGATGAACAAGAAGGTGGTGTTTTAATAGTCAATTTTCAGAATATAACAACTCTTGAAAATAGAATAGCTTAGAACATTTTCTCTATTTAGAAGTGTCACTGCTTAGCTGTTCACTTAAATAAAAACTGAGCTGTGGTGTACCTTTAAGGTAAAGTATTACCAGAGGCTGGAAAGACTTTCAGCTAAGGGGTAACTCAAAATCAAAACCTGGTGCCATCACATAAGATAAATGACAGAACAGGAATACTAGAGGTATCTTTATTCAAAGCTCCTCCTGAGACGTTCAGCTTGCTACTGCATTGCCAGAACACAAGGAATGTTAAACTAAGCTGGCTCATATATTATCATGTCAGAACTCAGTCCGCACCCAGGATTAGAACGGATCTGTGTGTCTGTGTGTGTAGGCTCAAGGGCTATGAAGTTCAGAAGATCTACACTAAAAACAAGGTGAGGCATGTAGCATTTCAACCCTTCGTTTATCTCTGGGTTGCTTTAACTGTCTGTGGAAATTTTCTCCAGGGTATGATAAACAAATCTGGAAGGCGGTGAAGAAAGCTTGGGTCAGCTGGGAGAAGGGAGTCCTCTGCCCACCAAGAACCTGCTGATAGCATCTTGTGCAGCTAGTACTGCAACTGCATGCTGGAGTACACGCAAGTAAAGGGGATACTGCATGCAGGGCACTGCCATCACCATCAGCATCATTGCTCTAGAAGAATGCTCTATTTGAAGAAAATAAACTCAGCACCAGGTTAGGAACTGCCATTTAACACAGCGCCCTGAGAAGCGAGAGACTTCCATTCTCCTCCGTGTTTTCTACCATGAAGAGGGGAAAGGTATGGGGGCAAGGTATGTAAGGATCAGCTGAGGCCCCTCGCTGTGCTCAGCCCAGAGCAGACAAGCTGAGGGAACAGCATGGAGCTGTGTCAGGGGAGGGCAGCTGGGGGTCAGGGAAAGGGTCTGCACCACAGGGCAGTGGGCGTGGAATGGGATGCACAGGGCTGTGGACACGGCCACCAGTGATGGAGCTCACAGAGCGTTGGGACAGTGCTCTCAGACACAGGGTGTGAATTTTGGGTGGTTCTGTGTGGTTGGACTCAATGATCCTCGAGATTTGCTTCCAACTCAAGATACTCTGATTCTATGAACTGTGTCTCTTCTAGCTAATGTCAGCAGCTAATTCCTCAAAATACCAGCTCTCATTGCCCCTGCTCCCAGGTCTTGAACTGGGACTGCAGGACATCCTCCACTGTCTGGGTGCTGAGGCCCATTGTGCCTCTGGGCTTCCTTGGGTGCAGCTCAGTGTGCTCTGCAGAGGATCCCTCTTGGAGGCTATAAACTCCTCAAGGCAGGCCAGAAAATAAAAACATTTTATGTTTCCCCACCGAGTCTAGTGCAAAGAGCCTTCTCTGTTCACATGCTTCTGTGTGCACTGTGGAGTACAGCCTGAATTACAGCAGTGAGATTTTCTGCTTGGATACGACATGTATATTTTGATGATGAGAGAGACCAGCTCTCAGACAGAAATCCATTGTTATGTCATACCTCACCAGCACACGTTCTTCATGCAGTTACAAAATAAGCATATACTGCTTGCCACCCAGACGGCTAACTGGCAACTGCTGCTGGCAGTGGCCATACCTGGGGAGGACATGTGCTGGTGTATAAGTATGGCCCACCTCACTGTCGTACTGCTCTTTGCTGGGCTCTCACAGGACTGAATGAGCAAATATACAGAAGGAAAGGTAGCTGATCCTGTTTGGGCATGATACAAGCAGAGACTGTGCCACACTCCCAGGATGTTTGTTTCCCCACCGAGGTAAGCAGCAAGAGAATTTCAGATCCAGCCTTATTCTCCTCTAAACAGCAGGGCTCTTAGCAATGTCAGTGGAAGCTGAAAATGTTTTCTTTTAGCTGTCTCTGTCACCTACTGAGTGTTTGTGAGCCCGCTGGTCAGAAATAACCCCTTGAGCACACAAGAATACCAATGGTATTCTTGTCAGAATATGGATACTAATGCAATGCACCAATGACTGCCTTTCTTGGAAAATGTTGTCACATAACTCAAAGCTGCTTTTGGGGCTTCTCCATTTTTACTCTGGATACTCACACCATAGTGACACTTCTGAAGCAGCAGAACAAGCTGCTATTCATGCAATAAACTCCCACCTTGCTTATTGCCCACTTGGTATGCTCACAACAAGACCTGGGATAATTTACCTGAGTTCTGTAAAATGCCAGATGTCAGGGGAGGTGAAGACAGTATTTTAAAATAGGGTCTTTCCCCTCATTTGCTATAGAAAATAACAGGAAAAACCTATTAAAAAAAAAAAATAAAATAATTTTAAAAAATTAAAAAATCCTGCAACATTTTGATCCCTAGTTGTAAATCATAGAATCATAGAATGGCTTAGGTTGAAGGGGACCTCAAAGCCCACCCAGTTCCACGCACCAGCTCAGGCTGCCCAGGGCCCCATCCGACCTGGCCTTGAGCACTTCCAGGCACGGGGCACCACAGCTTCTCTGGGCAGCTGTGCCAGCGCCTCACTGCCTCCAAGGAAAGGATTTCTTCCTAACATCTAGCCTAAATCTCCCTTCTTTTAGTTTAAAGACACTCCCCCTCATCCTATGACTATCTACCTCAGTAAAATGTTACTCCCCCTCCTGCTTATAGGTTTCCCTTGAGTTCTGGAAGGTTGCAGTGAGGCAAGGCAAAGGGGCCTTCCATAAAGGCATTGCAAAATCTCTTCCACTGCCTCCATCCAGATGAGCCCTGGATGTGGATTTTGACACAGAAGCTGTTGGTAGGCTGTGGAAAGGCTGACAATCTTCTTGGGCTCTTCAAAGTGCTACTTTAACTTTTTTTTTTTTTTTTTTTTAAATCCATTTAAGAGAAATTTGAGGGATTTAAATGCATTCTCGAAGCAAATTGAATCTATATTTCTTCACAGATACATGAGTCAGAGCATCTGAACGTGTATTGCCAAATATAGGCATTGTGCTACATCAGAAGATGGATGCTGGAGGATAACTGCATAATTTCCAAAGTTTTGTTTTATTATCTTTTCATTTTTGTCAAGCAAATGACAGAGAACACTCTTTTCCATCCCTCCAGGAAGGCTGTCTGACAAAGACACACTGTATGTTTTAAGAGAAAAGGCAGCACGATTCATGTTGTGACTGTCTGAAGTCTGCCATAGGGATGGAGTTAGGTGGGGGACACAGTGGCCATGACACTTCGGTGTCCCATTGGGACTGAGCACGGGATCCCACATTTTCAGCACCTCCAGCACACACCTGAAAGGTGGCAGAAATGGGTGGAGAAATCCACTCTCAGACCCTGGGCTGAAAGATCTGCCTCCCAAATGCGCGACCACAGGATGAGGCAAAGGGACGCAGATCCCCCGTTTGCCGCGGACGAGCGTCCACGTTCAACTCCCTCTCAGCGCGTTCTCCGCCCTCCGCCATTTTCCCCCTTTTGCCCGTAGCTCCGCAACCGCCCGCCAGGGGGAGCCGCGGCTCCTCGGATGAGGGGTGCGGGGGCTCGGCGCGGCCGAAGGCACTCATTGGCTGCGGCTGGGCGGGCCGGGCGCGGGGCGCCGCTTCTTAAAGGGCTGCGCGGGGCGGCGGGTGTGCGGTGCCGGGCGGGTGCTGCCGTTTAGGGGTGCGGGCGGGTGTGTGCGTGCGGGGCTGCCGGGCGAGATGAGCGAGGTGGGTGAGCGGCCGCTGGGCGCGGGCATTGGGAGGGTAAAGGGGAGCCCTGCTGCTCTTAGGAAGTGGGAGGGAGGGTGGGACGGGGGGTCTGCGGGTGCGGGAGGCGTTGAGCGTTAGTACTTTCCTAAGGTCAGGTGGGGAGGGCAGGGTGCTTCTGTTGCGGCTGAGCTGAGAGGTGTTTGTTGGCTGTGTGCGGGGTCTGGAGCTCGTAGCTTCTGTAAAGCTGTATTTAATGAGTCTCTACAGGTGTGTGTGTGTGCCTTCAAAGCGAGAGGTGTTGCCTTGTTTTGTGCTTTGAAGGACTGTGTGCTCTGGTGGAGAATTTGTAAACCAGAGTTTAAAGGTGTTTGCAGTGCTTTTCCCTGTGTGGAATCATCATAGAACAAATTGTGCGGGAGCCAGATGTGGGAGCTCATGGAAAAAATGACATCTCTGTAGTCTGATGCTAATGTGAACTTCATAAAATCTGACCTGGGAAGGATAATTAAGGAAAAGAATGTAGATACTTTTATAGCCTGGGAAGGTTGCTGCCTGTTTGTAAGTAAATAAGCTGTTTTAGGAGAAATATTCTGGGGGCAAACCAGTCAGTCAAGTGCCAGCCAGAGTCAGCTTGCAGCATCCCAAATTCTCCATTGCACTTTCCCTTGGGGATGAGTAGTGATATCTGTAATTACACCTCACCCAAGCGCCTGTTTCTGGAGGCTATTTCCTGTTACAAAATACCTGCCGCTTCTCTAACAATTGGCTATTCCTGTCCTAGCAACACAAGTAAAGCAAAAAGGAGCACCGAATTAGTTTCTGACTAGCTGATGTGCAGCTATAATACTTTGGTGCTCTCTTAGGTAAAAGACTTGAGGTGAGGACCTGAGAGATAGTTATGAGGAGAAACATTTTAGCTTGCTGGTCAGGCAAGTGGGAAAAGCAGAGAGAAACCTCATTGTGCTTTCCTGCTGCTTGCAGGGATCTGACAGCCCAAGAGTACTTGCACCATGCTTTCTGTGACCTCTCCCTATCGCTGCCTGCATTTGAATTCACTGGGTTGAGTCCATGCTGTAGCCTTTTAAAGTAACTACATGTTTGCCACACACACTGGCTGCTCCTTTAAGGTGATGTTTGGGGAGAAATTCTCTGGTGAAGAGGAATGGTTGAATGATCCTGCTATACTGACTGCAACTGTGCAAGGCACTCTTACGTTATATTCATGTGCTAGGATGTACTTGTTCAGTAATTTCCCTTTCATAGTTTGAAGTATTATTGCTTGCTTTGTACAAAGTGTGTCCTGATGAACATTAAGATCACTCTTAATGCCACCATAGGGGTTCTTTATTCATATTAAGTTTCCTGGTGCCTCACAGAGCAGTATTTCTAGCACACCTTCAAAGCTAGAAATGTTATCTTTCTATGATTCTTAAGTGCAATCAATATCTTCAGTCCTACTGTCACTCAACAGATAATACTGGAGCATTTATCACCCACAGCTATACTGAATGAAAGCCAACAGTCAAAAGAATATTCTTTTTCCAAAAGACAGATAGGAACAACTGGACCAGCCCAAACCACCCCAGTTCAGAAGGCTGCTTAAAAGCAGAGGCAAAAAAAAGATTAGAAAGCAAGCTCTTTAAACATCTGTTTGGATGGGGGTCTTGCTGGATTTCAGTTGTAATGCTGTAACTGAATTTTTTTTTATTTTCTTTGTCCTAATCTGACAGAGAATCTGAGGACAGTGATTAAAAAAGGTTCATCTTGAGCCCCGAAAAGATTATTTCAAAGTGGTGTTGAGATGGCTGAAAGCTTATGTTTGTAATTGGTAGTATTTGAGTGGAGCTTAAAATGCAGTGGTAGCAAATTCTGAAGAAAGCTTTCAGATCCTTTGGAAGTTATTTCTTGAGGTTTTTTTTACGTGGCTTCTTATTTTACTGCATCAAGCAAAATTAACTTAGTTCCTGTTTATGTGATTACCACTCTCCTGATGGGGAAAGCTTCATCGTGATGGAGGAAGCAGCCATTAATCTGACTGTAGTATTCCTTTATTTTCTAGCAGCTAACTTTTTTTTCAGTGAGAAAAGAACTCTGCAGGAAAATCTTGATCTGCAATTAGTCAAAAAAAAAAATGTATTTAATTTAAAATGTATTCTGATTGCTGGGCAAAGATCTGGCGTTGTAACTCCAGGGAACTTAAGGTATAAGGGTTTGCCCGGTTGGATCATGGAAGTGTCCAAATGTATTTCTTGCTGGATGCTTTTTGGTTTTAGCAGGAGATAGTTCATTATGTACTGAAATGTGTTTTTAGGTGTTGAAGTAACTTTGCAAATCTATTCCCGAGTAATTGAGGAGCCTTTCCTCTAGATCTATAGTAGATTTATTCCTTCAACTTCAATGAGCTTGGAGAGAATGGGCAAGCTGTTCAGATTTGGCTGCTGCCATACAGCATCTATGAGACAGATGCAACTGTTCTTCCATTAAAGATCTCTGGTCACCTAGGATGAACTGGGGGAAGTCATCTTGGGTGTTGGTTCACAGAAGAATGCCAAATAGCTATATACACTTGCTAGTGAGCCTTTAAGCTTAAACCTCACCTCAAAGAGTCTGTCAGCTTATCAGTGGAGTAACTATCTGACATGCTGAGTTTGTCAGGCCATGCAGGCAGTATTCCTATGGTGTGAAGGCTTGCAAGAAGCTTTTTTAACTTCATACAAATATTTTTACAGCAGTCACTGCCACTCTTTCCTTCTGTGTTGAATGGCTCTGGTTTTTAGGGATCAGTCTTAATCTTAGAGTTTGACTGTAGAGTGCTTAGGTCTCTTAGCTGGGCTTGGAATACAAAGAATTCCAGCTGTTGTTTCTCTCTGGAGCTGCAGCAAGCTCATTCCTGTTGTCTTATGGCTCTTTAATTTGGCACCAACTGCTATCTTGTGCCCACCTCTGGGAGAATATGAAGGGTACATGATTGTGTTACCTGTAAAGGGGATGTGCTGGGTATTTCTGGCTCATCAGCTCAAATCTTGTGGGGAATGCCAAGCAGCTTCCAGCTACAGCCCAGAGTACTTAATCTGTATAATTTGGAGCTCAGATTACCTTCAGATAGTTATGCAACAGTTGCGTTGGGAAGATGTTGACTTCACTAGAAATATGATATGCCTAACACGGAGGTCAAAGGCTTGTCCTGAAACTTGAACTTCATCAGTCCTTGGAGTGAGAGGAGATGCCTTATAACCAAGGCCACTAACCTCATGGTGTGGGTATGTTTCCAGTCTGCTAGAGCAACATGGGATGTCTGCTTCCTTATAGGTTGAAAAAGGCTCTGGGATGCCTTTCCATCACTTCAGTCAAGTACCCTAGCCAGGAGGCTGTTACAGAAGGAGAGTAATGTAGCCAAGAATGGAACTTCTGGCATAAGTGCTGGTTTCTGCCTGAAACTGTAACTGTTTCAGGTAGTTAAGTGGGAAAGCTGAAACTGGTTCATGTATTGCTTTCCCAAATTCAGTTCAATATTCCATAGAAACTGGGCTAAACTGTTGATACCTTGAGTCTCGGAACTAGTTGTATTTAAGCACTGAAGTGGTGTTTCCAACATCAATAATCCTGATGGGAATAAATCAGAGAGATGTTTTTTATTGGGGGGAAAATATGCCATGTTTGCTCAAGGGAGCTACCGTACTCTTATGTGGTTATTGCAATCTAGGTTGTGGAGGGGGCTGGTGTCTTAGCAAGCAGACCTTTTGCAAAAGGACGAGGGGGTGGGGATGTGATGATGATGACAGTGCCTTTTTGTTCAGATACTGCAGTGATCCTCTACTTCTGAACTATCAGTTTCGCTGAGGTTGTACCCACAATAGGTGCACAGCTGCATAGATCTAAAGTGCAGCTAGAATGTGGCAGGCTGGAGGGAAGAAATTGTGCAGCTGTTGTAGGATAGGGATGGGACTGAAGGTGTGTGAACACTTTTTTATCTCAAATTTGCTTACTAGCTGTGTAGTAAATTACTTCTCAAAAGAGGAGGAAGGAGAACAAGTTTTTTTTTTTTTTTTTTTAATTTATCACTTTGCCTGCTCTTCCCCTGATGTGCTTTCAGTGGAATCAGGCATCTTCTCAAACAGCACTTATGAATGAAGTTGAAAGCTAATCTTAGTTTGGTGAAGGTGGTACAGGTCAGAAAGAAGCTTGTTTTTTTTCCAGTGTGTACAATGCTAACAGATTAAAAGAATGCTCTTATAGGGGACAGTTGGCTTCAGAAGTGTGCTTCGAGATATTATTTCTTTGTTAAAGAGTAACTTCTCCTGTTTTACAAATACAGAGGTTTTCATTTGAACTGCATCCACCACTTCAATAGGAAAATTAAGAGTATAATTTCAGGCTCCAAAGGCATGTAACATATTAATATGTCCCTACAATTCTAATGTATCATCAAGCTTACAAGGATTGTCTTTCCACCATTTCTATACTGACTTGGTCAGGCTTGTGATGAAATAAGGTATATGGTCAATGTCTGCTGTTATTTGTCTTATTTTCCAAGTGTATGAAATAAAAAGTATGTCAGTGTTTGTTTTCTTTTTCTGTAATAACAGTACAAAATAACTTATAATAGAGTGGCTAGTCCTAGACATTGGGTGTGTAAATCATGTGATGCTCACTGCTTGGTTGAAGAGGGCTGAGAGAAGGCTGTGGGCATCAGAGGAAAGCTATGCCTTTCTTTATCCTGTCAGTTGCAGTGGAGCTTTAAAATCACAGGGCCATGCAACACTTTATTCTCTGTGAGGCATAGGATCCTTTAATAAAGATGAATAACAGCCTCTCTTTTTCTAAGAAAAGGTGTTCTGTTTCTTTTTTTCTCAGTTGTTTAGACACTAGTTTAACAAAAATAGACATGCCAAATAAATAGAAACTAGGTGAAATCATAACTAACATTCTTTGTCCCTTTACTTTTCCATCTACTTTTAATAATGGCAATCATTCTTTATTTCTCTTATGGAAACAAATGGAGGAGACAGATCAGGTAG